ATCTTCTTTTGCCTGGATGGTGAGCCTCCCAACTGGCCCTAATCAGTTGTATTTTTTTCCATCACATGTGAACAAGAAAATACCGAAGTACGATTGGTTTCTGCATGCCTTCCTTTACTACTGTAAATTGTAAGCCCCCTGAGGGCAGGGACAGCATCTGTCCTTGTCCACTGCTGAGTCCTGCCCCACAGGAGATGTGTTGCAAAGGTTTGTGGGGACAATGAGGAATAGAAATCATCCTCAAGTGGCATATGATGACATAATATCATGGTAATTGGATTAAATTCAGTATAAAATTTCGAAATTTCAAGGGATGTGTCTAGCAGCAGCTTCAAAGTAATTCACATATTGCCTTGAATTTTGCCTGGTTATTTGGAATACATCCGAATCTGACATAGCCAGCCCCATGTCGTATTTGGTCTGAAATAATTCTTCAGGTATACAGAGTCAAAGAAGTCTGGTCTGTGAATGACGGCAAAGGGATAACCCAGCAAACTTTTGTTGGCTCCAAGAGTCCACGGAACAAGCTAAGAAAATGCAAAAAAGAGGTGATGTCAGATCGGAAAAAAATAGAAATGAGTCAGAAGTGCGAAGTGAAGGAACTAGGAAGGACAGGTAATTAGCAGTCTTGCGTGATTTACTTCATTTAACCTCTATGATGCCCGTGAAATAATCTCATTTGAGACATGAAAATCACTTACGTCTCAGAGGGCTAAGATAACGGTTTAAGGTCTCGTGCTAGAGGGTAATGGCAGGGATTCCCAGTGATGTGTCCTCTGACACTGCCACTGAGTCCGCGTTGCCGTCCCATAAGCAGACCATGTGCCAGGCACAGGTGGGAATAGAAATAAAATGATCTACCTTGTATCCACTGATGTCATGGTTTGCCATCCAACAGCTCTGGTCTTGGGCAGACCCAGGTTTTGTGGGTCCAGGATCTTGTATAGTTCTGTGGCAGGGGGCGCCCTTTTGGAAAAAAAGGATATACATTTTTATTTTTAAAGATTTTATTTATTTATTTGAGAGAGAGAGAGGAAGAGAGCACAAGAGGAGGTAGGGAGAAGGAGGAGGGAGAAGCAGTCTCTCCGTTGAGCAGGGAACCTGATGCAGGACTCGATCTCAGGACTCTGGGATCATGATCTGAGCCAAAGGCAGATGCTTAACCAACTGAGCCACTCAGTTGCCCCATATATGTGTTTTTAAAGTATTAGATTTAAGTACAGGGCCTTCCAAGGAGTCTGGGCAAGTGACCAGGCCGGAGGCTCCCACTTTATTGAGCATCCGTGGTGAATCTCTCTCTGCTATAATGCTCGTTCATCAATTAAGTTAATTTGCAAAGTGTCTCAGCAGGGCCTCAGAAAAGTTCAGTGTAGAAATCAGGGAAAAGAAGGGGTAGGCTGGAGTTCAGCGGGGAAATTCAAACACACAGCTCAAGATAACCCATAAGCACCATTTCCGTAATAGCCCGAAGGACAGATTCTAAGTGAGGTTTTTATTCCCTTATGTTTATTCCCCTCCCTTTTTTAAAGCCTTTTTTTTTAAAAGATATATATATATATTTTTTAATAAACAGGTTTTATTTTGAATACAAATAAACAAAATAACCGTGGATCTAATTATGAGCTTTTTCGGTTCAGGAGGACTCTTTCCTAGGTTTTGAATAAACGTCTTGTTGTCAGGGTGATAAGCTCTGCATTTCTAGATTTAGAATAAAAATTCCTCTAAAATATTTTGTAATCTGGTGGTGCTGGGCTTTGCCTTGATCTGGAGCACGTGGGTGGGTGGGACTCAGAGGAATTCTCTGGGCTTCATTGTCCCTTGTGGTTTCCTGTGTATCAGAACCAGCCTGTGAACACTCCGTTTACTGTTTACCTCTTATAACGGTGCAGTTGGAGTCCTTTGTGGACCAGAAGATTCGGACGCAGTCCGTTGCCAGACTGCTTCTTGCTAAAAACCGCTCTACTAGCAAGCCTGTTACAAGAGGAGAGAGATTATAAATGTTCTTAACAAAAGGGGAAACCAAGGCATAGGAAAGTAAGCCACTTGCCCTCCCCAATTAAACCCAAACGGAGCCTTGTGGCTCTTGAAGGTCTGTGGAAGGTCACACACGGAGGAAAAGAGCACATTTCTAGGAGAAGAGAAAACAGTCTTGCAAACATTATGGATTTGGTAGGGGAAGCAGTGGTCGGGACTGGGTGGTACGTGTTGGGTTTAAAAGATAAGGGGATTTGGGGGAACGAGCGTGGATAAAAATTGGTGAACACCACAGATGCTTTAAAAAGGACTTTGAGAGTGTTGGCAGGGGGAAAAACAATAGAGATTTTATAAGAATGGAGGCTAGACTCTGAGCCTAAGCCAACGGGCACTGTGGCACAAGCCAGCAACAGAACGTGACATCTGGGAGTAGGGGTGGGCAGGGGGAGATGAGCACAGCGTCCCGCAGATCCCAGGCCTTCAGTCGCTGTTGAAGGAATTTGCAAAGGAGACCGAGCTCTAATGTTGTCTCGATTTGATAACTACCATTTTCCTGGTTGCCATGATCCTGGTGTGGGACCCAAGCCAGGAATCCAGAAAAGCCAAAACAGACAATGTGGCGTAATACCGGAGAGTCTGGATACCGGTGAGGACTGTCAGGGACAGGGGCCCTGAAGTCAAACCAGCCTGAGATGACAAGAGACTTGCCTCCTTTAGAGACACTTCCCCAATCAGCCAGGGTGTCTGTGGGGGTTGGGGGGGGGGGGTGGCTCTGTGTGGGGGTGGGAGGGAAGGAGTGATTTCATCTGTTTAATGAAAAATGACCTGGACGTTTCTCTGATCCTGGAAACTCCCATCTCACCCAGGCCAAGAAAAACAGGATTAGGTCTTATTACTTCTACCACGGCTTTGCAACTTCTCAGAATGAGTTAACTGGGAGGGAACAGCAAAATAAGGCAATTGCCTTCCATTGTCCCTGCAGATAGACCGGGGAGGTTCTGAATCACATATAATAGGTTAATAGAACAGGCTTCCCTCTGGTCCTCTTTGAAAACTTCTCTTTTGGCTTCTTCTGCCTTCTAAATGGACACCCCTTGTTGGTATGTGATCATGAAAATATAGAAAGTTTGCTCAATTGAATTGAGACAGGCAAGTCACCCCTCTGGCATTCTGTCTACTGACAAGCTACTGATTTCAGGTCTAATATTCCGCTCTGAGTTCCAGAGGGAAATAGCTTTTGCCCTGAAGCATGAGGCTGTTAATATCACAACAAACATTTTGCCCAAGAGAGGAACCACTGACAGGGAATGGTCTAGGTGACCTAACAGGGTGACGCTTTCCAAGACTTTTCCTCGTAGATTTTTGGGGACGCAGTCTTTTCGTCACTGCCAATTTTGGGATAGTCAAAAGTGCAACATCAACAATGAGACCATCACAGTGATCAGTGTGTAACAATCTCTTTTGTGCCTCAGTTCTTCCAATCATCCTTTGAAAGGGAGAATGGGGTGAATAAGTCAGTCCACAGGGTTGCTTTCCTTTTAATGCAATGTATATTTATTGTAAACAATAATATACAAAAAAAAAAAAAGAAAAAAGGAAAAGATGAGTTTCACAGAGGGAACAAAAGGTTTGGGGGAGGGAAACAAACAAAACACAAACACAAACCAAACCTTACCTAAGGACAAAATATGATTTAAATGCCAGGTTTCTTAAGTTACAGAAATATTTTTTTTAAAGATCTGCTTTTATACAGAAATTGAAAGATGCCATATTATAAGAGTGCTTTAAGATTTTATTCTACTGATTTCTAAAACTGTTAATATATCTTTTTTTAAATAAAAAAAAAAAAGTTTGCTGTCTTTTTTAAAAAGCAATCCTCGAACTCTCCAGCCACAGAAGGGATTAAGAATTCAGGTCTCTCGTTGGGCTTATCCCCTCCACCTTTCCTCCTTGTCTCCAAGAGAACATGCAGGGGACTATCTATGACACATGCCAGCCTTGTTTTGTGTCAACACACACACACACACACACACACACACACACACACACACACACACACA